CCCCAAAACCCCAAAACCCCAAAACCCCAAAACCCCTAAAAATCTAAATCAGCCGAAATATCAGGTTTAAATCTCTAGACTTAGCCACTACACCAAAGCTTAGTCCCAATCATATATGATATACCGGGTGAGTCTCTTTCTTATCAAATCCTCAGGGATTCCAGATGCAGTAATCTCAAAGAAAACATTGGGATCAAACTACTCTTTTTCTTATTAAACTTTACTATTTTATTTATAAGAATCTAGTCTGATATTTTAAAAACTAGTTGTAAAGATTAGCAAGTAAGACACTGACACATGCTAGCTCCATCAAAACAATGCACACCCTTGTAAGATTTTCAAACATACTCAATGCTAGGAAGACAAGATTCAGAGTATTTACTAGCAAACAGGATGGGGATTTAGGTAAAATTCTATATACATTTGTGAAGTCTGACGAGTTCATAATCCTACAGCTAAGTTTCGTCCACAGAGTGTTTTAATTGGCCGAAAAATACTGACAATTCTAAAAGAGCGTCTATTTTTAACTTTTTGAATTCAAAAACTGGGCTCATTGTTTGGTGTGATAATAAAATATAAGAGATTGCTTCTCTTTGAGCTTTGTTCTTTCATGAATTTATTTTTATGATAAATTTTATAGATAAAATTATAAACCACTAAATGGGAGACGCTCAAACTATTAGCTTAATTAGTAAAATAATTAGTATTTTTTAATAATTCCTGAGTTCATGGTGCTTAGATAGCCATTCTTCTTGTCATCATGGAGTCTCAGAGGTTTAGCTAGCTTCATATTCTGTAACCGGGAATTTTTAGATTTATTCAGTAAACCATTATTCACATTCTGAAGAGAATTCATTTTTGAAGCTGAAGTAGAAAGGCTAGGCAAAGATAAGTGACTATTTCTGTACTCATTCTTTCTCATAGATCTTTTCTTTTGAATTTTAAGTTTTAACTGCTTGGTTCGATCCTTCTTTTCGTCATATTTCTTATCCCACATTGAAGGTAAGCACTTGGCAGGCCCAGACATATTAAGCTTGTCTCCAGTAGTATCACTAAGTGTTTTTATTAGGATTGGTGCTGTGTTGGCTTCCTTTATTTATGAACGCCTCGGTCTAGCCTTTAGTATGAAACTTACTATAACTGATGTGAAGGTTTCTACTGTTATTTAATTTTATTAATCTTGCTACTTTCTACAATATTTCGAGCAGATTGGTAAATATGATTTGCTTTCATACTACCTCTGTCGTTGTATTGATCCCCATGCATCCCATTATCTCTAGAGGCTGAATATTCGCTGTGCGATTGTCTGAGATAAGGTTTCTAGTAATCAGGCTTTTAACAATTACAACTTTATTTTGAGTTTGTGCCGTCATCATAATTTGAATTAAACAGATTCTCTAAAATTTTCTTTTTATTCTCAATCTCCTGTTTGGAAATTTTCTTAAGGTTGATTTTTAACATTTTACCCATCTTCTTTTCGGAGAATAATAAAGAGGAAGATGATCCAAGTTTAGGCAACTCATTGAAATTATCTTTCTTAATACACTCAGGAGAAGAAGCTTCTCTTCTCTCTATACTTTTGGGGAGCAAAGAATTAGAATTATCTTCATTCTGGTTATTATAAAAACCAATTTCAGAAGATTTTTTCTTTTTCTTAGTTAACTTATGGGAGCTATTTACTCTCTAGCCTATTTTTGAAGTTTTGAAGAGGAAAATAATCTTCACTTCATGATGAATTTTTGACATCAGCACCTATTTAAACTTAATCCCATCTAAATAAAAGTATTCAAATGTAAAGGATAAATACCATCAAATTGTAGATGAGCAGATCAGTCTTCGCTATTCTTCTCCATTACACTCTATGTCCTATAAATGTTATATATTTTAGTTTTAGGACTTCAAATGGGGTTTTGGGGTTTTGGGGTTTTGGGGTTTTGGGGTTTTGGGG